CAAGAGGAAATCAAGGGTAGTACTAGTACAAGATAAAGAAGGTGAAAAAAGCTTAGCTTTATAGAGTATATGTCGACCTCGTACTGACTCCCGTTCATGATACCAACCGAAACAAGAAATGCTATGAGGGAATAGAAGAACTGTTATTTGAGCTTTGTTAAGTAGTGTGGTAGTGAGGTGATTCTCCGACGCAGTGATTGTATTAACAAAATGATGATTGATTACTGGAATTTTGGTGTTAGTGAATGATGATCTAGCTATTGAAATGATTGATAGCGTGGTCAAGTAAATGGAGTACCGGATTATATCTGAGCATAAAATTATGTAGCTTTGCTTGTGCATGGTATTATTCTCGCTAGAGCTATCATTAAAGGTTTTCTTCACTGAGTATGCAGAAGTTCTAAATGACTAAGATGCGACAAAATGAGAACAATATAGAATTGTGTATCTCTTTTTCCCCATATTTTATTAGTTGTATGATTTCATTGCTGTGGCACCATGGTTATACATTATTTATATGCCTTGTAAAGTTTAATTGATACAAGGAAAATTATAATAGAGCATAGCTGATGTTTATCTCCTTTTTGTAGTTGGAACTTGGAAGTGGTGAAAGGGAAATTTAAGGCCTGCCAATCTAAAGAAGAGGTTGATTCACTGAAGTTTGCTGAGAAGGATCTCATTAATAAGGTATTCATGCATTACGCTCGCAGTGTGGGGCACATGGGCAAAGATGGTTCCTTTCTTGTACTGAAAATTCTGAAATAGTCATGCCATTTCTTCTTGTAGTTTTTCTTTTACAATATGTTCATAAATTAATCTTCTTGTAGTCCCACACACATGAAGAATTCTGATAAGAGGGATAGAAAACACAAACCTTGGAAATGGTTAGTGCCGGGCTCCATTGTTCTTTGAGAATATCAAGACATATGCTTCCGTTGCTATTAATGTTTGGGTGAAAGACCTTGATCCTAAATGCAACCTGAAATGTAACTTGAGTTAGAATCCAAATTCTAGACTACCAAGAGATGTACTCAATTAATGATATTTTGTATGTTGATTTGATTTTTAGATGTTGGAAGATGTAATATTATTATTTTGGATGTATTGTTAATCTATGAACTTGGATGTTGGACTTTGTATTTAGATTGGATGTGAATCTGTGCAGTTTTCTGTGCAGTTTTGTGCAGATTGCAATCTGTGCAGTTTGCAATCTGTGCAGTTTTGTGCAGATTGCAATCTGTGCAGTTTTGTGCAGATTGCAATCTGCAATCCGTACAAATTTTTTTTTTTTTCAAACAACCATAAAAAAAAAAAAAGGACCCGTTTGAACCGGCCCGTTTCAACCGGGCCGGGTAATGTCCGGTTCTTATATTAGAAAATGTAATCCCCGGACCGGCCCGCCCCGTTCTCTTTGAACCTAGGTCCGGTCCAATCCCTTCAAAATTGGGCCCGGCCCGGCCCGTGCCCAGCCCTACATCATACAGGTTGGACTCTGGACTCTGGTGTAACGAATCATATGACATATGATAAAAATATGTTTCAATATATGACAACATCTTACAGGAAAAGTATAGCAACTGCCAACGACACCCTTGCACCCGTGGTTGGCACTGGCACCGTGCATCTCACACCATCTCTCTCTTTACATCATTGCTTACTTGTTCCATCTTTATCACATCATTTATTATCAATACCATGAGTTACTGAATAGTTGGATTGTGTTGTTCTAGTGTATCCGTCTTTTTGTCTACTTCAGAATATTCAGACAAATGAGATAATTGGGCATGGCCCTAAGAAGGAGGGGTTGTACTATGTGGATGACGTCGTTCCTAGCAGAGCTAATGCGGTTCGAGTGTCTCGTACTAGCAATTTACAAGAAGTATGGTTATTGCATCGTCGGTTAGGGCATGCATCTTTTGGGTATTTACGGCATATGTTGCCTAGCTTATTTAGTGGAATAAATGAATCAGACTTACATTGTGAAGTATGTATTCTTGCTAAAGTCATCGTGCTTCATTTCCTCCTAGTATGGATAAAAGATCTTTGCCATTTAAACTTGTGCATTCTGATGTTTGGGGGCCTTCTCCAGTTGTTACCTCTTCTGGAATTAAATGGTTCGTTTCATTTGCTGATGATTGCACTCGTATGACTTGGTTATATGTGGTGCAAAATAAAAGTGATGTTGGTATAGTGTTTCAATCATTCACTCAGATGATTCAGACACAATATTCTTTTGTTATTAAAGTTCTATGTTCTGACAATGGCTGTGAATATATTAATTTTAAGTTGTCAGAGTTTTCTCCGTGATCAATGCATTCTCCATGAAATGACATGTCCTCACACCCCACAACAAAATGGGGTTGCTGAGAGAAAAAATTGCCATATCTTAGAAACGACACGTGCTCTACTTCGTGGAGCGTTTGTTCCTAAATGTTTTTGGCCTGAGGTTGTTACTTATGCCGTGTATGTGATTAACCGTATGCTATCTTAGGTTGTTGAGTTTCAAACACCTCTCCAAGTTCTCACTCAACATGCTCCAATGGTGTCTACTAATACTCTCACCCCTCGAGTATTTGGATGTGTGGCTTATGTTCATATCCAGAAAATTCATTGCAGTAAACTGGATCTATGTGCCCTACAATGTGTATTTGTGGGTTTCTTATCTCATCAAAAAGGATATAAATGTTATCGTCTTGAGACTGGGCATATGTATGTAACCAATCAAAGAATTTTTATACTCTAGTGCATTCTGCTTCAGATCACCAGGGGAAAACACTATTGGTGATCTGGGTTGGTTGGACCTAGGGGAAGACACAATTGCCGAGAGCACACTTGCTGCTACTTCCGACGAATACTCTACTGCAAGTGTCGGGAATGATCTTGTTGACCTTCGGCCAGCTTCTGCCAAACCTATGGTAGAACTTTCATCAGCGTCATATCCCAGTCTCGACTCCACCATAGCACGATATTGTCCGCTTTGGGCCCTGACGACACCTCATGGTTTTGTTTCTAGGAACTCAGACGAGAACTTCCCAGTGGGTCACCCATCCTAGGATTGCCCTTGCCTAAACTCGCTTAACTTAGGAGTTCCGATGGAATTTGAAGCCAATGAGTTCCCAAAAGGCCTCGTGCTATAAAGAGGGAAGTATGTACAAATAAAGCACATCACCCCCTCTCCGTTGGTCGATGTGGGATCTTACAATCCACCCCACTTAAGGGGAACCCAGCGTCCTCGCCAGCACATCCGTACCAAACGGTAGAGTGATTCTGATACCATATTGTCACATCCCAGTCTCCACTCTGCCGTAGCACGATATTGTCCGTTTTGGGTCCCAGCCACGCCCTCACGGTTTTGTTTCTGGGAACTTAGACGAGAACTTCCCAGTGGGTCACCTATTCTAGGATTGCTCTCGCCCAAACTCGCTTAACTTCGAAGTTCTGATGGAATTTGAAGCCAGTGAGTTCCCAAAAGGCCTCGTGTTATAGGGAGAGGAGCATGTACATATAAGGCACATCACCCCCTTTCCGTTGGTCGATATGGGATCATACAGTCAACCCCTACCAAACATCATGAGGCTTTTTAGTTTGCTTCTATTGAGACAGCTTCTGATCAGCCATGGTAGATTCCTGCAGAAACTAGTACTCAATCACGGCAGACACTTGCCGAACCTACTAATATGTCACCCTCTCTCTCTCTAGCTCCACAGTGTCGTCCAATACATCTTCTCTGAATATACCTGAGGCAAGTATTGTAGATAATTATGTAACTAATCCAAGTAATAATGTAAATACATATAAAGTACCACCAAGACAAAATCGAGGTGTGCCCCCTGATAGGTTTTCTCCAGAAAGGAATGTGAAGTATCTAATAGCCAACTATGTATCATGCAATAGTCTTGCATTGAAGCGTCAAGCTTTGGTGGACAATATGTAGTCCATTCAAGTACCAACCCAAGTGGATGAAGGTCTAAATGATCCAAAGTGGGCAAAAGCAGTGGATGAAGAAATGTTGGCATTACAGAAAAATAATACCTGGGAGGTGACGGTTCTACCCAAAGGCAAAAGGACAGTTGGGTTTCGGTGGGTGTTTACAATTAAATACAAAGTTGACAGATCAATAGACAAGTACAAAGCAAGGTTGGTAGCTAAAGGATACACCTAGACATATGGTGTAGATTACCAGGAAACTTTCTCTCCAGTTGCCAAGATGAATACGATACGTGTTCTGATTTCTTTAGCTGGAAATATGGACTGGCCATTAAACCAATTTGATGTGAAGAATGTTTTTCTCTATGGGAATTTGGAGGAAGAAGTATATATGGATTTTCCTCCCGGGTATAGTGCTGATGGGAATACTGGAGTATGTCGGTTGCGTAAGTCACTCTATGGACTGAAGCAATCACTGTGTGCATGGTTTAATAGGTTTACTCAAGTTATGAAAAAGAATGGGTATCGTCAAAGTCATTTTGATCACACCTTGTTTGTAAAACAGAGACAAGATAAAGTGACAGCTTTAATCATCTATGCAGGGAAACCTTGCAGCTGAGTTCAAAATTGCAAGGAAACCTTGCAGCCGAGTTCGAAATGAAGAACCTGGGGGATTTGAAGTATTTTCTTGGGGTTGAAGTTGCTCGCTCATCTAAAGGTATCTTCTTATCTCAACGTAAGTATGTTCTGGATATATTAAAAGAAACTGGTATGCTAGGGTGTAAGCCAGTAGACACTCCCATTGTTGAAAAACATCATCTATGTTTGGATCCAAATCAGAAATCAGTTGATAAAGGTAAATATCAGAGATTTGTAGGAAGACTAATTTATTCGACTGTCATGACCCCAAAATGTAACGTGACAGCATCGCGAATCTTATAAACGTATGAAAGTTGTATGCTCCATTCTCAGAACACGACAATTCTCTTGTATCTTTAAGATACGAAAGGTTTTTAAAACTAATAACGAAATAAATATTCGAGTTCAAGCAAAAGCCATAACATTCAAACCATTTCATAAGTAACCTTTTTACAAAAGAAAACCCAGAAGTTTAGTTTACAAAAGCCAAATGAGTAATAGGTTTAGATAAATATATACATAAGCAAAAGAGGCTTTACATAGACAATTTTCACTAAAACCAGAAAATCAATATTTACATTTCAAAAGCTGATTTTCTGACTCAAAAGCTTTGAGGTTGACAAGCTACAATCGCGCACCTTAGTCCAACTCTTCCATTATATCTCGCACAACACCTGAAAATGTAGGGGTGAGCATTACATACTATCATATGCACCCCCTCGAAAGGCACCCTAGCTAGGTTTGAAACTAGATATACCTTTGTACTACGTATAAAGGAAACAATTTGCACAACAAAATCCTTTGGCTTGAGTTAAAATTTATTTCATGCTCATACAAGTAACTATTGTGGGATCCCTACATTCTTTTTGTCTTGACAACCAAACATTCGGCCAGCTACCCATACCTAAAATAAAATTCTCATGTAATACCAACACAAGGTAGGGTAGTGAGAGTGTCCACTTACAACCTATACCACTTAGACATAAGTACCCTCCTTTTACGGTTAATGGTACAAGTCCGTTTGTACAGGACCCTCTGGAGGTTTGGGGGATCGAAGCCCAAGGTAGTCACACAGCCCCCCTCACTCTCAGGTTGTCATTACAATATAGAATAACATAAATCACATGCTAGAAAAATCAAACTCTTCTTCCTAACATGCAATTCTAACAACAAAAAAATCCAATGCATAGCTTGCACGCATCAATATTTACATACATAATACATACCGAAAACCACTAACTAGGGTGTGAGTCCCCCTACCTAATATTCCAAGCTTCGGGTACCAACTCTTTCCACAATGTTCACTCTTATCATTTGAACTTGCTTAAGCCACGAGAGTGCCTAATCCGGGAAAAAAAAAGAAAAAAAAAAAAACATATCAATACACACTTCACATGCACCAACACATACTAATACTCCTCAATTCCATTGGCCCAGTGCGTGTATGTCCCAAAATAATCAAATCTAATATTTATTCATATGAGTCCCAGCTTAATTAACCTTTTCCATGAAATCCATTCAGGGCTATAGCTATATACCAAATGCCATCTAACAGCCAATCCACAATTGAATTTCATAACTCAAAATCAAGTAAAAATTTACATGTCTTCTTCAATAATGCTTTTCAACTAGCCTTAAGACTTCCAAAACTCTCAATTCAACCATATAGCAGTTCAACCATGAATTTTCAAACTTATTAACATGAAATCCCCAATTAAAAAAAAAAAATTAAATCTGCAAATAAGCTTTGAATTCTTACCTTCGGTTGTAGAGTTATGATCACAGAGGCAAAAACGGATTGCAAATCGCATGTCTAAAGATTAATCAATGCATTTTTCTTCTTTTGATACCTAAAGAAGAACCATGGCTGTTTCTTCCTTTCTAATCGTTTGGAAACGAAGCACCGAAAACCAAAAAGATGAAAGGATCATCTTAACTCAGTGCTCTCCATTCCTTTTGTCTCTCTCTCTATATATATATATATATATATATTTTAACCTAATAACAACTTGACGCACACCCTATTTTTATCCACCTAAACCTATACAAGCTCCACATAATTAAATAAATGTTTCTGGGTTTTACATTGGCTCATACATGTTCGGATATCACCTATGATGTGAGTGCTGTGAGTCAGTTTATGCACTCACCAAGTGTAGTTCATATGGTTATTGTTATGCGTATCCTAGCATATTTGAAGTCTGCACCAGGAAAATGAGTTTTGTATGAGAGCCACGGGCATTTGAAGATTGAAGGGTTCACGGATGCTGATTGGGTAGGTGATGTAAATGATAGGTGATCTACTTCTGGGTATTTTACTTTTGTTGGAGGGAATCCAGTTACATAGCGAAGTAAAAACATAAGGTGGTATCACGATCCTCAGCTGAGGCCGAGTATAGGGGCATGGCTTAAGGCATTTGTGAAATTCTTTGGCTACGGAAACTTTTTTGGGGTCTTGGGTTCAAGCAGAAGGAGACCATGAAATTGTATTGTGATAACAAGTCAGCGAGAGATATAGCTGATAACCCAGTGCAGCATGATAAGACAAAGCATGTGGAGGTTGATCGACATTTTATCAAAGAAAAGCTTGAGAAGAAGATTGTATCAATACCGTTTGTGAATTAGGAGGAGCAACTTGTAGATATTCTTACTCATGCTGTGTGTAGTCGAAAGTTTGATGACTCGCTTGCAAAGTTGAGCATGTGTGATATCTATGCACCAACTTGAGGGGGAGTGTAAACCATGAGTAAATATTAAAAGGGAATGTAAAGATTGTGTAAATATTAGGAGTCGTTTATTAGGAAGGATATATGTTTGTGTCCTTTATTGTTTCCCTATGGAATAAGGATTGTATGTGTATATATTTCAATTATGCAATACAATGAAATTTAAGTCGTAAAATTATATTCCTAGTTCATTCATTATACGTGGAATTGAACCAAAAATTGAAGATATGTATGGTCAACTCAATTCCATTCGAATGGCCAAGATATGGTGGAAGAGGCAATGGAAAAAAGTGAAGAAGAGAAAGAAGTCTCGAGCTTCGAAATCAAAGAAGAAGCAGAAATATGCAGTGCCTCATTGCCTTGTATCGACACCAAATTTCAAAGCTACAAGGTGGAAGAAGAGGAACAAGAAGAAGATTTACGGAGTGGTTCCTCATTTCAATGATCCACCATCCTCCACTTAATTTTGGCATAGTCTAGTTCATGATTATAAAGAAGCGCTTCTTCAGAGGCAACCCAAGTTTTCTAAATTTTTCCTTTATTTTCGTAATTTCCATTTTGTTTTTGGAGTCAGTTTTTAATTTCCTTCATGATTTTAGGAACATTAGCTATTCAAAATTCAAGTTTGGGGGAATTCATTACAAGGCATCTCGCATCACGCTTTAGCATTGTTCATTCATGCTCCAATGAAAAATCCGGGAAAGTTTTCAAAACCCTCTCTTTACATGTGTTATTTGTTATGTTTTCTATGTTCTAAACATTGAGGACATTGTTTAATTTAAGTTTGAGGGTAGGGATTGAATTTAAGTTTTATAAGCATTGAAAGCATGAAAAAAAAAATTATCGAAAAATTTATGGTTTTCAAAGTATTGACCGATTATAGTTTGCTAGGAGTTGATTTTGCTGAAAGTTAGTTAATTTGATTTGGTCGTTTCCTTAATTTTTAAGTCTTAGTTTGTATTTTTTTTTTTTTTTTTAGTTTTTTTCTAATGTGTCATTTATTCAAAAAGATCTTCTTTTTTTTCTTGAGTTGTTTTCTTTTAGTTAGATCTTCCAAAAGTCAATGATAATACTTCGCTTTCTTCTAGGTCACAAACTTATTTGAATTGGTTCTTTTTATGTGAAATTTCAATTGTTTTATATGATTAATCAGATTCTTACATGATCATTCTCAAGTTTATTTTTTACAAATAACCAATGTCAGTATGATTGCTTTTAACTTAGAGAATTATATGTGGATTTTAAGTGAAAACTTATTGAACTTTTTTGAGATTTTGAGCCTCTTGCATATTCTTTCTTGTGAGTTTCGTGACAGCATTATCATTCACTAGAACTTGCTTCAATATCTCTTGAGACGAAATCCTAAGTCATGCAACATTAGAAAGATGATTAAGGCTATCTTTGGACTGTTGGAGCTTTTCTAACCAACCTTTTATGTTATATTATCCCTAGTCATCGTTTTGAAGCCAAACACATAGCCTTTTTCCTTCATTATCCATCCCTACCCATTTAACCTATATTTGCCATACCTTATAGATTAAGGGATATCAAGTGGACATCAAGGAAGATAAAGGTTGGGTTCTACAATAAAGAAGTGGCGTGTACCGAGGTACCATGTGTAGTATTATCTTTATTTTAATCGTATTTTTGAAGGAAAAAAAAAAGAGAAAAGAAAAGGAAAAGAAAAAAAAATATCAAAGAAGTTAGGAAATAAAAGTTTGAAATTGTTCCATCCTTACATCATGAGTCCTGGACGCCAATAATTGAAGATCAAGTGTCAAAAGAGGGCCAACCAAATTACATAATAAGATATCTTGGTATTTCTTAAGTTTTAGTTTTTCCCTATCATTTTTTTGATAGCTTATAACCTGGCCTATCATTACAACCCTTGTAAAGACCTTTGATCTCTGGTGTTGCATTGATTTACATTAGTGGAAAGACGATGTGAAGAGCAAGCTTAAGGGGTTTTGTATTGCTTATCATGATTTGAGTGAAACACTTTTCCCTCTAATGTGTGATTTCTTTATGAATGATATTCATGGTAGAGGAGTTGAAGTGGAAGCTTTGGTTTGTATATATGCCTGTCCGAGTTGAGTAAGTTGTATTGACATTGGTTATTTCACCCACTACAGTTGAGAATGTCGTGTAAGGTTTGGTTAATTTTATTTTGAAAGGTGTTTAATTCTTTTAAGTTTGGTGACCGTTTTAGATTGCATTGAGCCTAATTTATGGAAGGTCTAGTGTTTTCCTTGTCTTTTATTTTTGTTTTGCTCGAGTACTAGTAAAAGCTTAGTTTGGGGGTATTTGATAGGTGCATTATTTATCATATTTTCATGTTATTTATTCCTAAGTTTTGTTAAGGAATTGATTATAAAAGAACCTTATTACTTTCCTTTTCTCAGTTTCATCCAATATGCACACTTAGAATGTTTTTGGTGATAATTCGATTTTCCGGAAGATTTTCTATGCAAGGCCAATTGGAGAAGAAAGCTAAGAGGCTGAAGATCGTTGTGTCTAAATTTCATAATTTTTCATGGAGCCATTCATTCCAGTTTTACAAATCAATCCGGCAAAAGTTGTTTTCCCGTTAGAATTGCGCAGCCGTGGGAAAATGAAGATTTGAAGGCTTTCCCGATTTTTTCCTAGTGGCGTGCAATATATGCTTGGAAAGATAAAAGATAAAGCTATGTTTCCCATATTTGTACAGAATTTTCCAGAAGTTAAATCGACCCCAAAACTAGCGTGCAAGACAGATGACGTGTTTCCCAAGCCAAGAATGATTATTTCCTAGTTTGTGTCATTAATTGTTTAGGAGTGTGTTTTATTTAGGAGAGTTTCTCCCAGACCTTTTAGGGTTTTTCTAGTATAAATAAGGTGCCCGAAGCTCTCTCTAGTTCCCCCGCATCCCTCGATATCACCCACACCACTACATCATTCACCATCTCCGCAATTAGTGAAGAATAGCTTAGGGACGTGCTTTGCCATGGATTCCAGGTTCTATCTTTCTTTTATTTTTTTATTTCTATGTGTAAATAAGTTATTTTCTAAGGTTTATGATGAAGCCATGACATGAATATTTGCGAAGTACTTTATTAATTATTATCTGTTTATATGCCATGTTATATTCTTAATCTTTGTGAGTATTTTATTCTAGATTCGAATTTCTAATGATTGATCACCTTTAGGAATTTTGCATCTAAATAGTTAGATAAATCTATGAGGATGACCAATCAATTAGGTTTATTGGAACTAAGATTAAGAAGGGTAGACAAACTAGTGAGGATGACCAATATCAAGCTAGTACTACTTGGTTGACATGATTCTTCTACGCTTAATTGGTTTTTATGTGTTTAATTGTATGCCTAACCAATAGGATAGAATTATCATATAGATATACAATAGTAGATGCTTGACCACGGATTAATTCATACCTTAGAAAGAACAACCTTTAACATTGGCATTATAATCGGATAGTAGTTGGCTCTAGTAAAAGTAAATATGATTGTTATTATTCATAACCTTAGGTTTTCTTTTGTCATGTGTTTATTTTAATTAATTGTCTTTTCTTTTTCTTATTAATTTTAGTCTTAATCAATTACTCAATTATTCAATTCAATCTATCATTTCTTTGTTTAATAAAGTCTAGCGTGATTAATCGGTTAAATTGGTGTTAAAGCAATCCTTGTGGGATCGACCTCGTATTTGCATATATTACTACAATTGATTTGTGCGCTTGCGAGTTTAATTTGGTTTATATTAATCTATTATTCAGGTTCGTTTAAATTTACATCAAATAGTCTAACAGTCTATTGGGGACTATGGTTACTTTGTTTGGGGATATGGCTACTGTTGGGGTTAATATTTAACATTGGGCTTTATGATATTAAGGCCCAATGATGTCAAATCAAATGAGACTTGTCTGAAGCGCAGTTGATAGGCCGCAATCATTTCAGCTAAGACATAGGTTATATGCCTATGATTGAAGTGATGACTGATAGAGACCAACTCACTACTAGCCAAAAAGCACTTTCTAATGGCATGAAGAAGTAAATAGATGATGACTCACTACCCTCCGAAAGCCATCAGCTCAAAGCAAAGAATAGAAGGATTGGGCCAAAAGGTCTATGAAAGTAGAAAGGGACACCAGAGACAAAAGGAAAAAGGGACACCAAAGACAAGGATACTCAACCAACCAATCAAAAGACATACAAACTTTGCTCTCAAGTAAGTTCATACCCAGAAAGCTGAATCTTGTCCAGATCTACTCTTTTTAGCTATAATTCCTTTCGGGAAAGCCATCCTTTGTCTAATGTAAAAGCTCTGCTACCTTCCCTTAGTGTTATAGTGTCGATTCCCTCATATAAAACCTATTTGCTTTTCATCCCTCTTTGCATACAAACCTCTATAAACACAAAGAGAAGTGGCTGCAAGAAGTTTAACCTCGCCCGACAAGGTTAAATCTTGCTTGAGTCTCTTCTGTTTGTACTTATAGTTAGTAGATCTGTCATTTAAAGTATTTTCCTTCTTATATCTAAGTCATTTTCAACTATTTTCTACTTAAAAGTTTCATTTGATATTCAAATATGTTAAGTTAAATAAGACTGTTTTCATTAAAAGTAAACTGTGATCGTGGAAATGATTGGAAGGGCCTTGAACTTCCTTTGTTTTGGACATACAAGATTATGAACTAAAAGTCATTGTTTACAAGGCAAGAAAACGAACTTAATGCAGACTTAACCCATCTATGACTACCCTTTGATAAACAAGAAGTTTGAGTAACTTGGGGCGCAAGTAATCAACTTAACTCACACCTATTCAATAATCTGTTATACTAAGATAACAGTGGCACGCTTAGATCCTTGTTAGTTATGATTGTGAGTCTCAAGGCCTACATCAAGGGCCCTACAAAGGCACATTTCAAACTAATTGTAAACTTTTCTTGCAGTACACCAAGCATCAAGAACTTGCCCGATAACCAACAAAGTGTCATTCCCTCGAGGAGCTATGCAAGGGAAATCTTGCCCAAATAGCTACTCTCTTGTGTACTTGCCACATTGATTGACTCTTGGGTGCTTGATGTAGCAGTAATCTCACAATGAAGATGATGACGGGCCATAGAGCTTGATATCCCGGCTATTGTCAGGTTGTAACGGTCTTGCATTCACCATTGCTTACTGCATTTTATTTGTTAACAGAAAAGTTTAATATGCATGTCCACAAAATTTATACTTCATTGATGGGTATACGTAGTTCTTTTGACAAACGATAAGATAATTATACTAAATTTATCAAAAACTATAGAGAGAGAGATTCAAACTTGGATGTACATGGCAAAGCGCACTGATTTAACTAATTAGGTTAAACTCATGCCATGCATATGTAGTTAAAATGAGCTCTATGGAAAACTGTATATACAGCTTGACTTAATACAAGAATCACTAGCAATAAGCATTTTGGTTTAGCCACGTTAAGTTTTAAGTTTCTTGGAGGAGGTCATGATGCTAATAGAAAATTTCTCTTATAAAATATGTTTTAAGCACGAACATCATTTTGTGCAGTATTTTTAACATTAGCAAACTGAGCAGAATTTTACATCATACGCAAATAAGCAAAGAATATAAGTATTTTAAGCAAATTGGAAGAAAAAACATATCTTATTTGGTAAAAATAAAGAAAATAGTTATTGGCATTCCAAAAATCTTATTATACATTTCAAACCTTCTATATTTAGAAAGAAAAATAATAAAATTTTTAGAATGTCACTAATACTTCGAGAAGCAAATCACTGTTCACATGTGACTTTGAGTTGAGTAATTTTTCGGTGTACCCGGCACACCAAATTTTTTTGGTGTACCCTCACTCATAATGGTGAGGGTGCACCAAAAAAATTTGGTGCACCCTCACTTTTTGTACACCAAAAAAATTCTAATGAGTGAGGGTACACCAAAAAAATTTGGTGTACCCGGTACACCTAAAAATTTTTCGACTTTGAGGCTGCCCGTTCTTCATCTTTTGCTTGCAGAATCCTATACACGTGTTTGCTGGAAGGAGAGAATGATGGAAAACCGGGCTCTTCCATTTGCTTCCAGAACAGATTTCTCAAGCTCTCTCACTCACAAACCGCGAACTCCTAGTCTCCGTCAGAAGGTTCGTCTCTCTTTTTCTCTCACCTTTTTTTTCAATTCGTGATCGAAATTTGTTTGCATGAATGCTGGACTGGTTGTGTTTGGAAAATTTTGCCCTCTATTTGCTGCGATTAATTTTTTTGTTGTTTGATTTGGGAATTCTTGGAAAAATCCAAGCTGAATCCCGTTCTGATTCGTAGAAATTTTATACCCAGAAAAGCTTGGCTCCCGTTCTGATTTGAGGATATTTTAAACCTAGAAAAGCTTGGGTTTCCTGGTGAGTTTCCGACATATTTGCTTTGGGTTTGGTATTTAGGTTCTCTTTTCTTTGTTCGATTTTTTTTGTGATTTTAGTTTTAAATATCTGGATTTTCTTTGGTTTTTATGACGTATCAATCATTTCTCCTTATTCATATTCAAATGTAACGAAGGCTTTGCTGGAAATTGTATGGGTTTGTATTTGGGTTCTCTTTTCTTTGTTCAAATTTTTTGTGATTTTAATTTTAAATATCTAGGTTTTCTTTGGTTTCGTCTTTTAATTTTTATGATGTATCAACCATTTCTCCTCATTTATATTCAAATGTAACGAAGGCTTTGCTGAAAATTGGAATTCGTGGCGCTATTGTATCTGATGTTTGAGGCTTTGGTGCACAAGGTGGTTCAACAGAGAGGACAGGGCGGTATGTTCTTGCTTGGGCATGGATATTTCCTCTTCATTTTAATTAAATCTATAGATATTTTGAAACACTGCCTACCTATTATATCTACCGTTATTTATTTATCATCCTACTCTTTTCTTATATTATCATTTCATAATTTCTTCCTCTTTTTATTACTTTGTTAGGCTCTGCATTTTGTGGAGGCAACTAGCATAGAGATTGTAGTGAGCAAAGACCAGGTATGAAGAGTCTGAGTTATAATTTTAGTTCTATAATGCATTATTTTTGAAGTATTGATGCTCAGGGAAGAAGGGTTGAAAATCACCGATTGAATCCTGCTCTCATCACTTCTTAGGTTGAAGCTGCGGTTGACAAAATAATTGAAGCAGCCAGGACTGGAGAAATATTATTATTTCGTGTTGAAAATGATGCTTACTGACTGAATTCAAACTATAATATTTTTATAAGTTAGCTTATTTTTAGACAATTGTTTAGGTATACAGAATTGTTTAATGGCTTTGTACCTTTCTATTTTGTCACCTATAGATGTTCTAAGAGATACACATACCCCTCCAGGGAGAATCAGAATCATTAGTTTACATTATGTGTCATGTTTGTGATGTGAGATACCACAACCATCTAAAAGTTTTAGTGAAGTTGTATTTTAAGGTCAGGTCGGTAGGACAAGTTGCTATATATATGTATTTATTTATTTTTTAAAACGTTTTTTACTTCGAATTTTATTTTGTGTGATTGCAGAGCAAGGAGAATGTGACCCGATTAGCTCCAAGCTTGCGGTAAACTTTTCTTTTTGCTCAGGGTTATGAGAATTCTAGCAAAAAGAATTAGAAAAACTCCGATTATAATTTTCGGTTTAAAGCTGTTTTTAATTTAGTCCACCATGTTATGTTTGTTAATAGGAACCCAGAAGAGTCTCGAATTCAGTTTCCACTCTCACTGAAAATGAAACTTGGTGCTATTAAGCTATCATCGTGAGCCCTCAGAATTCAGGTAGCCCATGAGTTTTACATTGTTTCTTTCGTTTTATCTACTAATTATTGTTCTATGAATTGTATTCTTCAGTTAAATAATGATTCATCCTCCTTTTCCCATCTCCTTGGTTTTTTCGTTTAGATTTTTCTGTTTGTGTATTATAATTTTTTTAGAATTTTGGTTACTATGCACTTATCAGGGAAGTCAAATCTCATGTGATTTGTACATCCATATTCCTTACAATCTGCATCTCATTATGTGCAATCTTTTGGTGATCAATTCAATTCTCATCTTGAAGCTCTTCCTTCCAGTTATGCAATCTTTGGCCCTCTTTTGCATCTCCGTATATGTGTACAGTAGAATCGTACTGCATGTGTTAATAATCTATAATACATGAACATATTATAGTAACTAAGTTTAGTCCCTTATTTTAGTATTTAACTGGGATGATGATTTCATAATTAAAATTATGCTAATTGTGAAATGTTAGTAATTACACTTAACTCAATCATATCAATCATTTTCAATATGTAGATGTAAGTCCCTTATTAGTGCCATCAAGGGTTAATTAATCCTCATATGCGTAGCAATAATTATTAGTGCCATGTAATGTTCGTGCTTACATGAATGCATTTTCAAATGAATGTTAGTATATTCTTGGGTATGTTATCGACACTATTCTCCAATCCAAGTTCAGCCAGGTACCTACTAACCCATCTCTCAATCTCTTTACATCAATATATTGGTTTTTTCGTTTGCTCATCATATGCTTTGCACAATTACATATTTAAAATTTTCAGAATATATGTATGTATGCTAAATAATAATGGATGAATAATGAATGTTCTGCCAAGTACCATGTTATTACCAATCTTGGTAGATTTACAAAGCATATGAGAGAATTCATGTGAAATTTGCTTTGGTGGCTGAGGTAAAATCAATGAGCTATAAATGTTAATTATTCAAGCTTGGATTTTCTTGGTTGTGGTGTCACATCCTGGCCCGGGGCAGATCACTTCCCGGGCCTAACTCCACCACCGTAGCACGATATTGTCTGCTTTGGGCTTACCATTCCCTCACGGTTTTGTTTTTGGGAACTCACGAGCAACTTCCCAGTGGGTCACCCATCATGGGATTGCTCTAGCCCCTTTCTCGCTTAACTTCGGAGTTCCTACGGAATCCGAAGCCAGTGAGCTCCCAAAAGGCCTCATGCTAGGTAGGGATGAGAATATAGATATAAGTAGGGCTGGAAAAAAATCCCAAAAATCCCAAACCAAACCGAAAAAATCCCGATCCCAAACCAAAAAAATCCCAAACCAAAATTCCCGAAAATTTCGGTATGTCATCCCGAACCAAACCGAAATTTTCGGTATGGGATTCGGTATTACATCTCCATTTTTTCGGTATTCCCATACCGAATAGAAATAAATATTATATATATATATATATTATTTTTTAATTATAAGAGAATTATTTCAACCGTTCATTATTTTAGATTTAATCTGTGCCGTTCATTTGTTTTTAGGTTAGATCCCATTTCAATTTTCACTTCCGTAGCTTGAAGTTGAAACGCAGCCATGAGCCACCAGCTTTCCTTCACCAGAATCAGTGAATCACCACCACCCAGCTTCACAAATCAACACCCAGCCACCGGCGCCACGCCAAAGCATCCTTCACGAATCGTCTCCGACACGATTCCTTCACGAATCGTCTCCGACACGAATCGCTGGACAGAACTCTCCAGCCTTCCTTCACGATTCCTTCACGAATCGTCTCCGACACGGCGACACTTGCGAGTTGCGATCTCTCTCTCTCGGGCAATTTTCCCTCACAGACAGAACTCTCAATCTAGCACTGAGTCTGAGTCTCACTCTCACCCAAATTAGGTAATTAATTTATGCCGTTGGCAATTTTTTTTGTGTGTGTGTTAATAACTTATACATTTCTGAATCTGAAATAGAATACCAGCACCAAGCAGCAGCGTCGACCTCAGACTCGTCACAAGGTTCTTCACATAAATCAGCTCTCATGCTTCTGTAAACGGTGTAGTGCCCACTTCCAGCTCTTCCAAAGTGCTCCACAATGGCAACAAGACGGTAGAGGCAAGTACTTGAAGGAACCACTTTGCAACTCTCAGTCAACTGCAATAGGTATGCACACATTAATAATCAACCTAAAAGCTTTTACTAATCAAACGCCACAAAAAAGATCTAAAAAATGAAAAACAAATACAAGTTTTAGATGCAAAAAATGTTCTTTTATAAGGAAAAGCAAACACAAATTATTTTCAAATCAATCTATATGCAAAAGCAGCAAAGTTTAAGTGCCTGATCTTCTGAGTGCATGTTCATATCTGCATGCATGGTTTTCGAAAACCCTGCTGCTTCGAAAAATCTAGATTCTGCTGGTACATCTTTTGCATTTGCAGTGAATTGAGATACATCTGAAGCTGATTCTTCTGGGTAGATACTTCCTCTCATTAATCCATAGATATGATTCAGCTTTATCTGATCATACTGCATATTGAACTGATTGGGAAAAGTTCTTGCCTTAATGTGTGATAGCAAAGTATGAAACTATGTCAAATTGGCAGATTGGGCAGATGCCATGAAAGTATTGAATAGGCAGATTTATTTTGATTTCTGTTATATATTTTGAGTTATTTTTCTCACAACCATATATTTTCTATGTTGAATGCTCAGATTTTTGAACCATTGACGAGGAGACGCTTTGTATTAATCTCCAGAAACTCGAAAGTTCACGGTTGAGCTTCACCGGTAAGTTTCGAATCCGAAGTCCAAACCTTTTCGTTTCTCAAATTTTCATACTCTGTTTTGTCCAGCTGAAAATGTTAGACGTAAAATTTGTACCAATCATTTCTATTCTCCACAGAAAAATTAAATCTTTACATCTTCTTATTGCTCTTGTGTGCATCAAATTGGTACCTGAGTTATGAATATTAGCCATCCCTTCACACGTCGTAAAGGAGATCGATGTCATTAGCTTTTCGTGGTGAGGTGAGGGAGAGAAGAAATTGTCCGAAAGGCAGGGTTTGTCTAGTCATACTGCATATTGAACTGATTGGGCAGTCCGCAGGGTTTGTCTAGTCGTTAGTCCAAAAGCCCAAAAACATTTCGGGATTCCCGATTTGTCCCGAAATCCCGAAATTATTTCGGGATTCCCGAAAATTGGGATTCCCGAAAATTTGGTTTGGGATTGGTATTGAATTTGGGATTCCCAAAAATTTCGGTTTGGGAATCGGGACAAGGGTTTCGGTATGGGATCCGATACCGAACCACCCCTAGATATAAGGATCACTCCCCTGGGCGATGTGGGATCTCACAATCCACCTCCCTTAGGGGCCCGACGTCCTCATCGGCACACACGCGACCAGGGTTAGGCTCTGATACCAAATTGTCACATCCTGACCCGGGGCGGATCACTTCCCGGGCCTAACTCCACCACCGTAGCACGATATTGTCCGCTTTGGGCTTACCATTCCCTCACGGTTTTGTTTTTGGGAACTCAAGAGCAACTTCCCAGTGGGTCACCCATCATGGGATTGCTCTAGCCCCTTTCTCGCTTAACTTCGGAGTTCCTACGGAATCCGAAGCCAGTAAGCTCCCAAAAGGCCTCGTGCTAGGTAAGGATGAGAATATAGATATAAGGATCACTCCCCTGGGCGATGTGGGATCTCACATGTGGCTTCCTTCATTAACCTCTACAACTGCATCTCTCTTTGCTCTCCCACTTTCTCCGGTACTCTCTTTCTCTTTCTAATCTCTATTGAGTTTCTTTCAATCTGTCAATTTATATAATTTATTCTTTGATGTCATATTTGGTGTGTTTGATTTGGTTTTGTGAATGTCTTCCTAACTTTTCCACTTTGGATTCAAATAATAAGTTCAATGGTTGTGTGCAGAACAGAATACTGATTTTTGAACAAGGCAATTCAAAGCTCGAAAATTTGTATGTTATGCATGAGCTGACTACTCCTCTCCCCCCCCCCCCCACCCCCATCTTTTTCGACTTTGAGCAATTGCAGTGTTTTAGCCCAATTTGCTAAATTTTCTCGTTTATTTTTAAATTAATTATGTATGAATTAACTTGGAAATGTTATATGAATTTGGTATAAACTTGAATAGAACTTACAGAGCAATAGATGCGAAGCCAAAAGCGAGAATGGGTACGAACATGGAATCTCACATTTGTTCATAGTGGTCTTGATGGAACATGGAATCCATATCACCATGCATACTAATTCAAGGTTTATTGTTCTAATTCTTAAGTTAAAATAAATTGTCTTCACTCCAGTTCATGCATTTCTCAACTTCACATGCATGGATGTTGATAAAAAAGAGCTTTAGGAGGGTCATTACTAAACATCTACAAATTCATTAAACCCTCAGGCTTCTAGTTATCAAACTACAGGTAACTACAGATTAGTAGACGTTTAGTAATGACCCTTCTGAAATGTTGGATATATTGTTGATACTATTGATCAATTGAGAATTGGTTTTTTGGGTTTATGAACTTAAATAAAATTCACATTGAACAACTTAGTTCAGATATGATTGGAATTTTAACTTCCAATTTGGTTCCAGTTCATGGCTGATATTGTATATGTTCAATTACCTGGAATTTTCTTGCGAAAATGCCTTTGATTAGGGTTCTAAGATCCGGTTTATAATTCTCTATGTACATGAAGCAAGTTTGTATTACAAATCTTCCTCTGTTGGATTTTGGTATTGTTCCTCAATCAATTTGGGAGATCTGTTTTATTTCTCTGAGTTAAGGGAAAGAATATGCAATTGCATTTAGACGGGTGGAACACAAATACTAATGATGCAGGCACCTGAAGCTATGGTAATTCATATGCAATTTAGGGTGATTTAATTCCAAAGTAATCAAATTATGTTTTTAATTTCCTTTTATTTGAATTTTCATTTCAGCGGTGACATACAAAATAAAGGAGGCGCCATTAACACAGTTATGAACTGGGATATCTTTGGTGGAATAAAACTTCATTATTTTTTAGCTTTGTACAATTGTAAATATAACTCTTTGGGATATAGCCATAGATTTTTAAAAACATTCCCCAAGGAGTACATTCCCAGTTTTGTTAGCATCTAACGCATGGCTGTAATTTTTGTATATAAACACTATTCTTTGACACATTTTTTGAGATTTTCTACATCTTTAACAATGTTTGAAACCCCGCAACAACGTGCGAGTACAGTTGCTAGTCTTATATACTAAACCTCGGTTGGGTGGGTATCGTGGATGACCAGGGGGCAGACGATTTGGCCCTTCATTTTTCCTCCGTTTTCTGCTCTTTCCTCCTTTGTGTAGTCGAGTGCCTATTTTGCCCCTTCCATCCGCATGTCAATCATCTAGCCAGTCTCTGTTTCGGCTATATTCTCAATTTTTCTCTTCGTTTCTGCTGTTGTCTCACAGATCTCTCTTCAATTGTTCTCGAACTCGTCATGTCTCGCTCTCAGTTTTTGGTGCCTCACGGATTCCGGCTAGCTCCGCAGACCATAGAAATGATCATTCATCAGGCCTGTATTTTGATTGCATCCTCTCAGTTTTTGTCTCTGTCTCAGTTTACACCGGCTCACTAATTCCGGCTGCGTCTGTACTCGTCAAACCACAGAAAACACCTGAAGTCAATTTTCTGAAGGTTGTTTTGCTCCTCGGGTTTGCTGCTCAGAAGATCAAATTGTCCAGGTTCGAAACGAAAAAGCTTATTTGCGAATGGATTTCCTCGCTTTTACTGATTATTTTTGTGTTTGATGCATGTTGGTTTTTTTCTTTTTATTAATTTTGGTTGTCTGATTGTAATCTCTGTTCATTTTAGTTAGATTTTCAGGTTTCGTTTTTGTTGTTTTTAGGTTTTTTTGCTCTACTGAAATTACATTTGGTTAAATTTTGTCAATTTCTTTTTGTCTGGCTAGGAAATTCTTACGTTGTTTTTGTGGCTGTTATATGATGGGGTGACAAACTCTGGTTTTTCAATTTTTTGGTTTTGCAGCATTTAACTAATAGGCAAGTACCTTTGAGGTGCAAGGAGAAGAAAGTAAGGTGTGTGAATCACCTAGAAAAAAAGGTGTGACCGTTTGAGACCCAGAAACAGAAACAGTGGTGTTCCAGTCCCTTTGGAGACTGTCGGTGACATCTGTGTAGCCATCAAAGCGTTTACGAACGAGCAGAAGGCTATTGAAAATGGGATTCCGTCTGAGGTAGTGCTTCATATTTGCTAAATTGTTCTTCTTTAGTGATTTGGGTTGACATTGTCAATATGACCTTACTTTTGAATGTTTTTCGGTATAAATTTAGTTTCGAATTTTTGGTTTGCCTCGATGTGTTGGAAAATACATGTATTTGAGAATGTTGGGGACTCACAAATGTTGTAGGCACTGAATTTTGTAAACTGTTTTTTAATTTGGATTCATATTGGGATATTCATGCTTTAAATGATTAATTGGTGATAACCTAGTATAATTATGAATATTGGTATGAACTATATTTATGAAGAATGCAAAATTAAAGTGGTGCTTTGTGATGCAATTTATATCTATAAAAGTTTGATCTCTTCAGTGAGAGGAATCAAGTTCAAACATGTTGAAAGGGAAAGAACAAAGATGCGTTCATACAATCATCTTATTCGGTCATGTATTATAGCATAAACCTGGTGATGTTATTTGATTTGTAACAATGATAATGATGGAATTATTGATCTTTGTTAATAGTATGGGAATTTGCAATCAGCATATTGTCTTTTGCAAGGCTGAACACTAGTTTATTGAGCTAACGTTTTTGGATTTGGTTGGATTTGAAGGAGTTGGAAGAGGAAGATATGGCTAATGGGGAAGAGAAAAGCAGTGACTTCTATGCAGTTTTGGGGTTGGAAAAGAAATGCAGACTCGGAGCTCAGAGAAACTCCATATTTTGTTTTTATTCCTTGCATTCCTTTTCACTTAATTTTAACTATAATTTTACTTTTTCTTGGGTGATTTCATGTATATGATTATATGATTCTTCTCTTTTGCTTAACATGGCATATTTAGTAGTAACTACGCATTTCAGTCATAGAAGTTTCTAACATGGGGATTGGTTAATGGTATGCAACACATAATTTCGAAAAGTTGCAAGGTTTGTTCTTATACTGTACATGAGTTTTCTTTGTAATTTATACATACAATGGTTAATATTTGTAGCTGTGATTGACTTGTCCTACAAGTTTAGACTCAATGCAGGTCTGAACGAAGTGAGGCACTACTTAAAGGAATTGTTTCCAAGACCAAGACCTTCGACTTATTAATACAACCATCATGGGATTCTCGAAACCAAAAGGTACGCCACTGCTTCTGTGTTGATTATAGTGATAATATTAGATTTTGATTAGGCAGCTTGAAGAATTTGGTATTTAGGGTTGTAAGCAATCTGATTTAAATGTTGATTCCGAATTAATGGAGTATTAATAATTGTGAATTAATGATTCAGGGGTAATTCTGAAGTTGGTTCTTCAATTGATGAATGTTAAGGTCCGAGTATATAGCTCATATCAAGAGCCAATATCTGATTAATATTGTTCTACATTTTCTGGCTTTGCTTTTCATCATCAGATGCATAGGAGCGAGAAGATGGAAGACCCCAGTCAAGGTGAACAAATTAACAAATTGCACACAGCCTGACCTTCTTATGCAATAATTAATACAAAAATTAGGGTTTACAAATTTACAATCTTGCTCCAATCAAACGCATACTTTCTATTTTAATTTTCTGTGTGAAATGGTCACTTCTCCCTTACAAAATGGTGTGCCAAAATGCTTGAGAGTCTGGAATTGTGAAAACAAGTCAACTCTCACTAAAAAATGTGCATAATTTTAGTGTTACACAAATGCAAGTTATGTTTTACTTATTCTCTGAACCTTTTACTTCCTTTTAAACTTGAAGGCAGTAAGCCAAGTCCCCAGACTGCTCCAAGCGCTAGGAGGTCATCCTTGAGCAACCTGGCCTGAGGATTTTACCAAAATGGTTGGGCTTCTGAACCTCATTGTATTTCCGTGTATTTTTCTTATTGAATGCGTCCATCTGTGGATTGAAACACGTTCTTTTCTGAATTTTCAAGGCATGAAAATTCAAGCTCGGGCGGTACCCCCATTTCATCTCTCACCCAGCTACGCGATTCATCATCTGCTTTATTTCTCATACAAAAACATTTCTGTAACAATCAACAGTACGTTAAAAAAAATTATAATCTATTCCCTTTTCGTAAACACGTTTTGCTTCAATTAAATTTTTACTAACCTTTCTCTTCAGGGAACTGATTATTGCCAATGTATATCTACAGTTCTGCTTTTCTTCTGCTTTTAGTACATGATTAATTACTTGCATACCCATAAATGGATTCTGTTGGACATCCAAAAGTATTATCAAAGATGTTGTAACCAAAAAAGTATCTGCTCCATAACCCTTGGTTTGACAAAAAGAACACCTTACCAATAAAAAAATTGTTTAATCTATCTTACAACATTCTTATTATTGGTGACATAGATTCAACAATTTTCCGTTTCATGTTGTGTTGTTTTGTTCAATCAAAGGATATCCATAAAATATACCTATGGTTAAAACATCTAGATTCATACTATATGATGTCCATCTTGAACCATCAATGAATAGCTGATAGGAGCATATTTGTGTGACTTATATTTATTAGAGTGTTTTAAGCTATTTTTGTGTGTTTGTAGGTTCAAATGGTAAAAGTGGCAACAAAGGCAATTTGGAGCATTTTACAGCAATTTTGGGCTTGGAATGGATATCACATGCATGGAACGAGGTGAATGGACTTTTTGAAGATCAAAAGAGGTTAGGAATGTGCTAAAGAGTTGAAGAAATTAATTCAAGACATAGAAGATAAGGAATCAACTAAAGAGAAGGAACATTATCCAAAACCTTATCTTATCTGATCCTAACCTTATCCTAATCCTATTCTACCTAAATTCCAGCTGCGAGGGGGAGTTATTTTCATATTAGGACATCTAAAAACCTGATTTCTTGAAGGCCTTACTATTTCCTAAAAGGGTGCCGCATACCTTATCCTTTGTCCCTTGTCCTTCTAGAAACCTTTTACAATACCCCCTTTCTAGAAGCCTAGAAATCTGGCACACCCTGGATCCTTGTCCCTGTTGGTTTGTGCTGTTCAATCCCTTTCCAATACAACCTTTGGAGTGCCAAATCCTCCTCCAAAACTATCTTATGTCGTGTGCCCTCAGCCTATAAATACACCACAATGCTGCACCATTCAGAGGACCACACACAATAGCCTAAAATCAGAAAAACACACATAGTGCTGCAACTTTGCAAGCAAGGAAGGAGAAGAAGAAGCTTGGAGTCGTGCCTACCATCCAAGGCCTTTGGAATGCTTGAGCGTTTCTAAGTGTATTCTATCCTTAGTTTTAGTTCAATGTTTGTTTTAATTTGGTTTTCAGTTATGATAGACATGTGGAACTAATTTCGTTTTAGCTAAAGGTGAATTCAAAGCCATGAACATATATGTGATATGAATTGATTACATCCAGTTATTGTTTCATAGATCGTGAATGCAATTTACTTAATTGTTTGATTGATAACTTATTCTTGTGTGTTGATTAAGGTGGCCCACTGAGTTTGCATGCATGAATTTGATGCTAAAATATAAGGGAGTTTCACCTAATAGTTATGAACTTATGTTTACAAGTAGTAGAGGTTGCTAGTCACGATCGCGTTAAGTTAATTCTTGGCAGAAGTATCATGCAGTTCATAGTTACGAATGCCATGTCAATGCTTATGATTTTCGCAGAACTTAATGAACTTTGATATGTATCTCTATTATGCAGTTCATGTAGGAAACTTGATAAGCATAATTTGGTTGCATCGTTGAGTCCAATTCAATGAATTTAGGAAAATCTGATGGTTAATTTGTGCATTTCACGGTTAACTTGGAGCATTGTCATTTATGGTTTATAGGAAGAATAACTGGAAATCGATTTATATGCATGTGTCATGTGTGGAGAATGACCTTCTAGCTAGTCTTTCGCCCCCTTAATTCACCCAATTTCGTACCCTTTAGTTTGTTTCTACAAGTTTGTTTGTTTAAATCTTAAATTCGTCAAAACAACCCCCCATTTAGTATTCTAAGTCTTTTTAGTTTAATATTCGTCCAAACTTCCCTTTAGTTCCTATTTCGAGTCAATTTAACTTAGTTTGTGTGTTTTGAATCAGTTTAGCTTATTTTGAGTAGTTTAAGTTTAGTTTTCTCTTTTAGTGTAGTTTAGTGATTTAGAGTTTAATTTGTGTAGATTAGCAGCCCTCCTGATCCCCAGCCTAGAACGATCCCTACTTTCATATACTACAACTATCAAAAAGAGGGTTTAAGTTTGTGTGCTATTTTATATCACATCAAATAGCCAAACAATTTGTCATGTGTTTACATCACGTGAAAAGAAGAAACTCTAGTTTATATATTGGTAACAGTCAGTTCCTCTAAAGATGAAAGATGGACATGATGATAATGCCAACAAAAAAAAAATCAAAGTTCCAACAACTCGCCAGATCATACCTTTGTCTACCACAAAGATAAAAAATAATAAGGCATGTCTCATCCATCTCTCAACATTCTCTGTTATCATTATTACAATATTTATATTATTTTTTATTTGCCATTCTTGGCCAATAAATTTGTCTAGCAACTTACTGTGTGCAACTTCCTTTTTTAATTCTCTACACTATGGATTTGTGTCATTTAATAAGGATATAGTACAATTACACCTTTTGTTGTAGTTTTTCAAATGTGTTACAACAATTTTATATCACTAATGATATTCTACATCTCCACCTTGCAAAAATTACAAGGTTCGCTGCCACTCCTCATGATCTGCTTATCTATGATCTAGATAATCTTAACAAACATTATGTAATCCGTGTTTAGCGAAAAAATCTGAACTTAAATAAAAACACAAAACAATTATATAAAAAAAAAACATAGACAAACTAGTTCATGCACAGTTTATGTTACTAACTTGTTTCGACATTTCCATATTCGTTCATTTGATTGAAATATTGTTCTATAACAGGTTTAAACTTTGTTTTTGCACTACCTTATCACAAAATAATTCCACCTTGGACAAATTACAAGGTATGCTGCAACCTGTGCTTTGATAAATTGCATTCAAATTGATACTACTTAAGAATGCATTTGACCAAAATATATGAAAATAAAAATAAAAATAAAAGAATGCATTTGAACATGTTTAGTTTCACGCCAACAACATTGCATGGGCACCATTGCTAGTTTGTTCCAAAATGAAGGTAGCTAACTGTATAGTAGTAATGTTTTATTCATTATTTAACGTTTGCCAAAATTTCAGATTTAGTAGACTTAAATTGTTGAAAAGGATTGCTCTGCCCAAGTTAAAGGGGTTCTCTGTCCAAGTTCCTTTGCGAAACATATGACAGAATATAAAAGGATTGCTCTGCTTGCAATGATGCAAAAAAAAAAAAAAAAAAAAAGGCGATTCTAGTAGCCGAGTCTATACTCCTTTACCATGCTAAGGAGATGGCAAAAACCTATGGCAATTGAAGCTTATTCTTCTACCTAGAATATTATAAGGTTGGAGTCTGAGCTCGTCGCTTTGAAGGGGGTCCAATATCTCTACCCTTACTTCTATGCAGCTTGAGACTGATTGCCAGGAGATCATTAACTTGAAGACTAGGCTTGATGCGATCCAAGTTAAGTATGAAAGTGCAGAGAAGGAGATTGGCTATTACATACCTCAAATTCCAGATCTTGAGTGTGCCATTTCTAAGCTTCGTTCCGTTGCTTACGTGAGGGATGAAGAGTTGATTGCTGCTTCTAATCAAGTGATCCATTTCAAGAAGATCATCGATAGGCTTGACCCTCAAGTGTTGGAACTCCAAGGTGACTGAAGATCAACGAAAGTCTGAAGAAGGAAGTGGATGAGCTGCAGTGCATCCGTGTTGGTCTGCTCAAGGAGAACGAGCAGCTAAAGGGCAAGAAGGCTGGGCTCGAGGCTTCGCTTGTTCAGAGTCATGCCGATTTCTACAAGCTGGGCTATGTAAATCATCTCTTTGGTAGGTTGTCTGACTTTGAGTTTGTTGGGAAAGACTTCAAAACCTTCTCTATTTCTCCGGAAGACTTGCTTACCTTTACTTTTGAGGCTTCCATTAGTGAAGTAGTCGAAGAAGTTGGTACCTAGGCTAGGGCAGCCTGGGGGTGAAGCACTGGATGATGTCGCTGTTGAGAGTGTCGTGGCTGCTGAAGATGTGGCAACTGAGTAGTCATGGATGTCCAAGCTACTGAAGAGTAGTCTTCTAGGTAGTCGTGGGATGTCCAAACTCCTTCGGCCTTTTCTATTTATTTATCAATTTTGCTGGAAAATTTCATAAACTTGCTTCCTTCGCTTCTTTTGTTTACGCCAAACCTTTTACTTTTAGGCCAATGGCAGACGTGCTGCTTTTCTAAAAGTAGATAGGCCTGCATAGCCTATGCAACCATAGGTGTTGGAGTAGAAGTTTTGCAAAGTTGTTAGCCATAGGATCGGCAGCCGTACGCCTTACTTACAGAAGCAAACGAGTCTGCGTGCCTACTTGACTGTTAACCTTGGCTTTCTTCAATCCTTTGAGCTGTGTGGCCTACATCACAACATACTAAAGATTTTTGGGTTATAAAATTCGATAACCTTTCGTATCAAAAGTACGTCGTTGTATGGAATTTCGTAAGCAAAGGTCCGATAGAACTCCTTGCTTTTTATGTAACCAATTTCGTGGGTTATGTAACAAGTATCACAACACTTTAGGAATTAATGTAGATCTAAATGAAGCTTGTCGACCACATAGCATGTCGATAGTGGATAAAGCTCCATATATGCACACTAACTTGTTTAACCCTTCACAAAAATGTGTGGTTTGTATAAGTTTAGCGCGACTTACTGCTTGAAGGGCAAGTCATAAACAGTCTTTTGGAAATCGTAGGCTACCTTAGTGCACATGGTAGCAACTTTAAGGTTCCAAGGCAGCCGTCCATAGGGCGTACTACGTAATGTGCCTCTTTCGTCTATGAGGCTTGGTTCTCCACGGATTAGACCAAAAGACTCAAAAATCTTCAGTTAGCTAAGCCTTGAAAAAGACCAACTTCTAGGAATCCTAGCGCAAGCTATCATCCACCTAGTTATACCAGGGCAGCCCGACTCATCCACGTTTGGATATTCAGAGTGTAAAGTTTATCCTCCCGCGTTGGAAAGCAAACTCATGTAGCTGTCAGGGAATTGGTTTAGCCTCTCACACTAGAAAGCAATTAGTTTATCCTCTTGCACTAGAGAGCAGACCCAGATGGGTGTCGGGAGATTGGTTTACCCTCTCGCACTAGAGAGCATGGTTGGTCCTCAGGGGGGAAGGCACAATTCTTGCGATAAATCCCTAAGAAATGCGTGGTATTCTTTTGAAGTGCAAGAGTGATCAATTGTTGTAAGCATGTAGCCGAGCCAAGTTGTAAATTACTTCTGAATTTCTCATTGAAAAACGAGTGAAACGAACGAAACCTTAGCTGTAAGGTAGAGACCGCATAATAACTGGATTGTCCTCGGCTTGCGAGGTGGTTTCCGTCGAGCTACTTGAGTCTTCAGACTCTGATGTAATGGAAGGTCACGCATGGTACTTCCTTAGGTTGTAGGTGTTCCATATTTTTGGGGTCTTCTCTACGGGCAGTGATGAAGGATTTTCTTAGGACTAGATCTCCAAGCTAGAACTGTCGGATCTTAGCCCTTTTGTTGTAGCTGGAAATGAGCTACTGCTGGTAGGCTACATTGCCGTGATAACCTTCTCGCGTTTCTCTTCTGCCAAATCTAAGTTTATGGCCATCTCTTTTATGTTCTGCTTGATGGTTAGCAGTAGAGTGCTGATACTTGGCATGCTGATATTGGGATGAATGATTGTTTCTAAACCAAATGCCAAGGTGAAAGGAATCTCATTAGTTGCTCATCGTTTAGTTGTATGATACACTTATAGACATCTAGCCATTTTTCCTTCTTGTCGGAGAAGGATTTCTTAAGGCATTCGAGAATCGTCTTGATGGATGCTTCAGCCTGCCCATTGCCCTGGGGATACTTCAGCGTGGACATACGATGCTTGATGCCATATTTCTAGAAGAACTTAGCCAAATCTTTGCCTACAAATTGCGAGCAGTTATCTGTGACGATGGATTAAAGGATGCCAAATCGGTAAATGATGTTCCTCCATATAAATCGCTCTATATCCGTCTAAGTTGTGGTTGTCATCGGTTCTGCTTCCACCTACTTGGTGAAGTTGTCAGTTGCCTCGATCATCATACCTTTACCCCTAGTCGCAGGCATCATTAGCCCTACCAAGTCAATTGCCCACTACATAAACAGCCAAGGACTCGTCTGCAGGTGTAGTTTGCTGGCAAGCAGTGCTGGTACCGGCTTGTAGCGTTGGCAGCAGTCGCACT